GATTCTCCCATACAGACCTCCCGCTTGATTAAGAAGAGCTAAGTACAGTCATTGAATTCATAGTAGTGCCAAAGCTGCATGTTACTGCAGTATCGGGACTGAGTGTCTATTAAACAAAACACGATGCCATGAACTTGCTGACAGATGTGGTAAGGGCAGTTATGAATTGATACAAGATGTGTTACCCATTCCTTGCATCTGTAAAGCACACATAAAGGACCTCATAAGGTCAATACACTGATTTATAGGACTGGTATCTTACATCCAGCTCAATCATGCAAATGAAGTTATAGTTCCTTGCACTACAAATCCGGATGATATTGAAAATTATTTTAGCTTACAGAGGAGAAGAATTGTTGGTGGGGAAGTCACAGTGAGCGACAACAACTTCCACTCAATAAGAGTCTAACAGCTAATGGTTAATTACATGACTCTTAACGTTTAGCTTACTTGTACACGGCAACTCTACTTGCACACACAGGCCACTACGCTATTACACTATTACACTCGCACACACAGGCCACTGCACTATTTTACTACAGTTAATGAAATTCATGCCTATAATACGAGACTTGCTTCCAAACAATCCTATTCATTGCCCAAAACCAGAGAACTAATTTTGGGATCTTCAACATTAGATATCAGGGACCTAAAATGTGGAATTCTCTTGATGAGTCTGACAAAAAATTACTTGATTTTCAATTAAAGAAGAAATTAAAAATACGCTTTATTGATTCATATGAAATATTACAATTATTTTAATTAATTCATTAGGATATATTCTGTTCCGCTGTAAGTTTCCATTCTGTTTGTATCTTTATATTTGTGAGTGTGTGTGTAAGTGTGTTACCGACTGATAACTGTATAAATAATCTATGTAACTTAATGTCTGCCCATTCTTTTTAGCCCTTATGGTTATTTTGGGCAGGCAGTACTCTATACTAATTTAATGTTTATGGTAATTATTTTATAAATTGTGAGTACAAATAAATGGTTGTTGTTGTTGTTACGCAACGTGAGTCCCATATATATCCTGTATTACGCGTACATTGTGCATTCCGCACTCACCATGTAACCGTCTCTTAGTCTTACAACTTGTGCAAGTATACATTCAAATACAACCGTTATACATCTTTGCATGCACATCTTAGCTCATGCAATCACTATATCAATTTCATTACAATTAGACGTGGAAAGAGGTTGGTTAGCATTCTTTGTGAAGAATAAAACTGGAGACATCTTATGCAATTCTTAAATCCTTTTCAATTACAAGCTGAGGCATAAAATTTTATTCAAGGAAAATGGCACAAATACACTGTCTTAAATGTATGTATGTCTTAATGAACAGGGACTGAAAATGGCATGGAATAGACTCGTAATACAGATCAAAAGGCTAATGAGAAAGCTAGAAAAATGTCAAATGTCTAGAAGCTATGTCAAAGTGACAAAGTGACCTGTCAAGAGTGTAATATTCTGAATGAAGATGTATATCATAGAGGACAAGACAAAGTCAACACACCGGCCATATTTGAAGCGCAAGGTGTGCCATACCATTGTGTAATGCTAAGCATTACAAAGAGGTCTCATGCTCACTCTTAAAGAAATAATAAANTTAATCTGAGAATGAAAATCAGTGCTCGTAACTGAAAAATACCTTACCGTGTACGAGTGAACTGTGTTGAGGAACTAAGGTGTCCCAAAGACATACATTGCTAAAGAAGAAAAGTAAAAAGCAGAAAATAATCAAATCATTTAGGTAAAGATCTCAATCAGTTAATCACAAAATGACCCTAGTGGATATTAAGAAGCAGCCCCTAACATTATGAGTTTCAATTTCATAGAGAACTGTGTTAGCTGAAACGATAACCTCGCTCAACTGTGGAAACTGACAAGAAACTGATAACAGAAGATAAAATGGTTATTAACTGAATAGGAATGCTGCCAAGGCCATCATGTACAGATCTAGTGTAGCTACGCTCAGAGTAAATGAGATCCAAAGATTTTCCAGCTCAAACAAAGTTTTTTAAGTTATCATTTGACGATCACACAAAAACTGGCTATCACACAAGCATAGCTCAGTTGATATGCGTTTAACCATTTGCTTAACAATAACATCGATGCCGCCGAATGTTCTTTCTCTAGACAAATCCGATCTTTTCAGAAAAATCTACCTTCCGAGCTAATGAAAGTGGTCAAAATTAAATATTTTACTCTGTAATTATAGAGAAAACTTGAAAATAACCTAAAAGTTAGTTTACCTTCCATCTGAAGAGTGCCCTGCCGTTGCTATAAAACTTGACGAGCCAACAAACGCAAAGTCGCTTGTTTGTTTGTTGTGGCATTTCAGGGTCTGATTATGAAATAGAAGTGCATGCAATTACTGACAGTAACATTTTAAAGAAATTGGAACTTACTTCCAAACCAAATTACACATAGCTCAAACACTTCATTTTTATAACACTGAATTATCTTCAAAAAATGGACATATTTACTAGAGTGGAACCCTCTGTGAAAAGACATCATTGGGGCCACACTAAAGTGACTAATGACGAGTGAAACACGCTGTACAGTTTTACTACTAAACCCTTAAATACGATATATATTCACTGTGATTCATGTCAAGGTCCTCCTCACCTGGAATGGCTCTGAAGCAGTACTAGTGCTACTGACTTGCCACAACAGAAGCTGACCACTAGCATCTGATATTCCAACCTAAAAATGCACAATCAACATTATAGCAACACCAACATGAGGTACTAATGTTATGAATGCCATTCCTGTAAAGACTTTCAACGTTTCTTCCACAATGCCTGGGAAATCTGCCCTACATTGACCCGGCTGTAATGCACCGTTTACCGGATCGCTTAACCTTCCCATCCAAATTAAGGGCAAGGTAATTAAGACTGCTAATTCTTTTGCCGTTTAATGTCTTTTAGTAACACTGAGATCAGTTTAAGGTGCTCGAAGAGTAAAAACTAGCATGTCTCTCTCTGTCCAAGGACATGACATCCTCAACGCATAAAATATTCTTTTGTTTTAAAAAGGCATGCAAACGAGGCGAAAGGGTCAATACAATGCAGAATTGACCCTTTCGCCTCGTTTGTGTGTCAAGCCGCTGATAACAATAACAGCTATTATTTGAAGGCCCTGGTTTGTTTCCTGGATGTTATTTCAACTAATTACAGTCTAATCTCCATTAATGGCCCCCTCTCTACAACAGCCGCGGATAGTCACATTCACATTAGTCACATTTCCTTCTATTTTAACCTTTCAACAACGGCCACCTCTCCACAAGGGAAACGGCNGAAATGCAAACAATGACCATAAAGTTAGCTCCAAAGTACCACTCATCTCTGTGAATAAAAAGGTAGACACAGTAACAAAGTTCTATAAAGTATACATGCATGACAGGTTTTTGTTTGTTTTCGTTTTACCAGCAGGAATGCGTCAACTGTTTGAAGAGACAATGTGCAGTTTTTAGTTCTTTTGCTTTCGTACCCTGTATCAATTTTAAAATACTGAGAAAACAGGTTGTTTTTTGAGTAGTAGTCTAATCAGATACAGCGCAAATGAGGAACTCTGAAAGGCAACAGCAATCAAGACATTTTCAGAATCAATGTGGGTGGCTGATTACACAGACTCCAGTGGTGACTCGGTACTAGCAAAGTTTTACAAAAAAAAGAAGAACTTCATCTCAGCGCTTTTCAGAACAATTACATGTTACGCTATACTGCGCCTTCAAGAACACATGAACTCTGACGTTTGGAACTCACCTAACGGAAGGAATTACACTGCCATCAATTACTTGACCCGACCTGTCGACCGTAAAGCAGAGTAGTTCGCTTCAACAGGTTAAAAGGCAAAGTTTGTGAGTTGCAATTACTAATAGCACATTTCGATTTTCCAGGGTCCATTTGGTGTGAAAAGCAACCTTTAGTTCCGTTTTGAACTTTAGAGTGCCCACTCGATTGAAAAGCGCCGTAATAAAGAAACATTAAAAAAAAATAAGAAAACTGAACCTTGCCGACATTTCAACTAACAACAGCAATTGCTGTAATCTTTGTAGCCAATAGAATTATTTTAATTTTAACAATTTTATCTTGTACATAAGCTAACATATATAGGATCTCTCATACTCATAAAGTTGTTATCATTTTCCTATAAATATTCAAATTTTATGAATACCGTATGTCAATTAGTGTTGCTATTTTATTAGTGTACCCAATTAGTCTATCAAGGCTTAACACATAGACACTTACATAAACGTTTTACTTACTTACTTATCAAAATTAAGAGACAGTACCTTCTTCTCTGAGCGTCAGTCAACTCACGCTCAGCTTCATCATCAGCCCATAGTAGAGGCTCAGGGCTTAACACACGAGAAATATCCACTTCCTCTACATCCTTAAGACTTCCTACTGCAATAAAGTTTGGGTTTGCCTGAGATGATAAAACAATGAAAAAAAAAAAGGCAACATCAATTTGCCTCCAGTGTCATTAGAGTCTCATTTTTATAACTCTACACAAGATGTTTTTTGTCAACACAATTTCTCCTATAAAAAACAGACCTATTGAAAGCACAGGCAAAATAAAGACAGCCTCGAACTGACTGTGTAGACTACAAAGATGTCTGAGCATTGAACAAAACTTCAACAATGATGTCGCAAGCTAACAGAGATACGTGTAGAGTTCTGATTAGTTGCTACGTGCACGCGAAAAGATGTATCCTAGCAACAACCAATCATAAACACTACACGGATCTCGGTAAGGTTACGTCATAAGACTGCAGATTTCAAGCCGCCTTACATATATGGTGAGGACAGAGCTATAGGTAGACAGAAGTGATCTTTTTGTTAACGTTACTCGAGATAGAGTTTACCTTATTGATACAAAATGTATTGATACCCTCGGGGTCTTTGTACAGAACTTTCACCGGCTTTACATCAACGACAGCGTCCAGTCGATCGACCTGGAGCAAAAAGAAATCATGATGTTTGGGTGTCGCAGCTGTTGTGACACTTGCAGTCGGTGCAGTTATTGTGAGTGTTCCAGTGTCGTTGGTGCTGTGAATGTTTTTGCTTTTGTGACTGATGTGGTTGTTCTAGGTGTTGTGTCCAATGTTCGTTGTGTATATTACGGTTGTGTTGTCTTTGAGGGTGTTGTGGATGTAGCGGGTGTTGTCGTCACTGTTTCTTGTGCATGTTGTGACCACTGATTGGTCCACAATGGTCCAATGGCCCCCAGTGGTCTATGGCCTTTGTGATTGTTGTGGTCGTTTACAGTAATATGTCTTGCAGTCACTGTGATCACTGTGGTGATGCCGCTGTTGTTAGTGCTGTTTGTGTTAAGGTCATTGCGTTTGTTGTGACTGTTGTTGATGCTATATCCGTTAAGGGTGTTGTGGCCTTTGACAGTGCTGTGGTCGTTTTGTTCATTGTGGTGGTTGTTAAGTCGTTGTGTTTGTTGTGACTATTGTTGATGCTGTAGCCGTTAAGGGTGTTGTGGCCTTTGGCCTTGTTGTGGTCGTTGTCATGGTCGTTGTGGGTGTTTTGGCCATTGTGGTTGCTGGGGCTGTTATTAGTGCTATAGCCGTTAAGGATGTGGTAGCAATTAACCGTGTTGTGGTCGTTGTCTTTATTGTGATGGATGTTGTGTTCGTTGTGTCTGTGGTGCTATAGCCATTAAGGGTGTTGTGGCTTTTGAATGTGTTGCGGCATTTGATGGTGTTGTGGTCGTTCTGTTTCTTGTGGTGGTTGCTATGGTTGTTGTGGGTGTTCTAATCATTGCGCTTGTTGTGGGCGCTGTGGTCTTAATGGCTCTTGTAGTCACTGGTTGTTGTCGCGGCTGTTCAAGCTTATTTAACGACCGAAACACAAACAACTACCGCAACAAGGGTCATAACACTCATATCTACCACCCAATTTAACACACACATCACCCACAAACATCAGGAAAAACGGTTCATAAAAAGTACCTCCTGTGAAGTTTCCATTTCTCTCTTGAAGATATTCTGTATGAAGATTTCCTGAATTGCTTCCTGGTGTACCAAGGTACGCCACAAACGTTTCACAGGCTCTGCAGAGTTGCGAGTAGATCTAGTATAATAACACATCAGTCACCATCTAAGCAAAGCTGACATCTTCCAACACTGTTTGTTTGTTTGTTTGTTTGTTAGTTTGTTTGTTTGTTTGTTGAAAAACAAAAACAGCATGGAAAAATCGGTGCTATTATGAAATTCAACAAACCTTTTAAAAAGTTATAAAAACAAGAAATGACAGAGCCATATCTTTAAGATGAATCAGAATCAACAATTCAACAATCCAACGGTGAATTTTAAGTTTCAGTTCTTTTAAGGCAAGGAAACTCCATTACTTGTAAGATAAGCAATGCTGCAAGTATACTGAAAGCCAAACGTGGATACAGTAGAGAACACTAGTACCACTACAGCCACTATTAAAAACTTTGACTTTTTTTTCAGGTGTTAAACACAAGCAAGAGCTGTTTCTAAACTTGAGTCACTCCTAATTACCTAAAAGGAGTATTTTGTGGATCCATCAATGCTTTATATCTCATAAGTGCTCGTCCACCTCTAGGGAATCCATCTTGGCTGACAGGGAACTGTGAGATGAAGTCTGGTGGAGGCCCTTGGAAACTCTCAAGTTTGTCATGGAAGGTTTGAGTCCAACGTTCAACTGTCTTTAGAGCTGCATGCAGTTGGGGTGATAGAGATGGTAGATCTGGAACAAGAAGCAAAAGTTTTACACTCGCACAATAACAGATTAATTCAATAGCGAAAATGAAAACAATTAGGCAGATTCCTTTTGGTGAAAATACGTATTTCCCATTAGTGAAGAATGTGATACGGTAAGATGAAGGTCAAGTTTTGTTGGCCCAAGCGCAAGGCATAAATCAAAGGAAAAAACAATGATTTCGTGTCTTTCTCACAGGATTGACCAACCAAATGAGGTTAAAGGAGGGTATGGTTGAAACGTTTTTCATACGTCGTTCTGCCAACATTCTCTCATTATCTCTTTGCGATTTCTTGCAACGTAAAACTGCCTGCCCTCCACTGTGTGGTGTTTGCAAGGCATACAACACTCGATTCTCCATACAATGGCTGGAAAACCTTGTTCAGAACACAAAATACATGTAAGTTAAGATTGTAAAGTAGACGTGTTCTAATGTTTGGCCATGAAAACAAACCTGTTAGCTCAAATCCCACATCAGGAAGGAATGCCTGCAGGTTATGAAGCACCAGCTTGCCTATGGTGTAGTTCATGAGGCACCAGCTGTAGGACTCGTGGTCCAAATGATTTTTAGGTTCAGTTTTCTTCCTTCTTTTCGACGAGAAATAGTCATGATCGCTCTCAGTGTCACTTTCAAATATTTCATCATCGTCATCCTCAGAGTCACTGGCATCATCTTCAGAATCATAATTCTTCGCTCCTTTCTCTTCCACATGTTGCGGCTGAAAGATAAAACAGAACCAGATACCCAATAGGATCCTTTACGAAGTTTTAGGTCAAGGACAGGCAAGTGCTGAGCATGGCACATGTGTTACATGTGTCACGTGTGTCACACGTGTGTCACGCGTGTGTCATGTGACACACCATGCCAAGATAATGGGAGAACAAAAAAGCACATGGCAGTTTCCCTTCGGGTTGGGAGTAATCTGTTTTGTTGTCCATTCATCAATCACGAGTTCACTAACTAAATCTACTTCATTCAGTTCAAATCCACTGATTCCCCAACCTTTGTTTTCATACAGATCTTGAAAAGAAAAAGACAAATCCATACAGTTTCCATAGGACCTTTCATTTTATACTTATGAAATCGTTTTTAGATTGCATAAACCTCAAATAGATGATTAAATAATAGTGTTAAAACATGACGTTCCCTTCTAGAGAAGCGCGTTCGTCTAACAATTTCACAAGCAGTGAGTTGCTTGTTTGATAAGAACCATGTTGGTGGCTAAGACTAATGCGGGCCTTCATTCCAAACCTAACTTCTGGCCTGTACCTTGCTGATGAAGTACTCCATTAGAGTACTTCTTGGTGGAATAAATTGTTCAATATAAACAGGTTTGACATCTGATGTGAGCCACTGGGACATTGTTTCTGTTAAACTTTGTCCTAACAGCTTGAAGTTCCATCGCTGTCGAGCACCTTGCCAATACTTGTCACCTCTTCCACGCCCATCAGGATTTCCGGGGGTAGGAGGTCTTGGCTTCTTTTTGCTATCAGTCCCACTTCCTGCAAGGAATTACCAAGTTTGAGTCAAGAGTGATTTACAGTGTTGCTGCGACGCGACCTGACCTTAATAAGAGCAGCTTTAAGCCTAAATATCAACTAGACCTGGAAAGAGCGAAAAAAAATGGAATTTCTTCAAACTCGCCCAGAATGAAGCTCTACATGGACTAGTTATCAAAACATTGTTTTAAGTTCGATTAATCAATTATTATTTTTTTACGCAACTTTTTTCCCTTTTTGATACCCCAAATCGGCCAAAATCGATCGAAAATGAGCGGCATGTTCAGAGGCTCATAAACTGAAAAGTAAAAATCGTTATTACAAACTGATTGTACGTCGCATTTATACCCACTTTCTTATATATTAAATAAAGCAAATGTACAAGTGCTTTTTGCATGGCTAGCAAACAACAATTAGGTAATGCATTTAGCTGTGCATCATGGAGTTATGATACATTGAGAGCGTACGAAGAAGCGCGAGAGTTGCTCGAAGAGCAATTAAAAACAACTCTAACCAAGCCTCTGAATTGTTTTACAACATTGCCAATGGAAAAGGCAACGCAAAGTTGTTTTACTCCCAACAAGAACTTGTGTCATTTTAATTTAAGTACGCTTTGGAGCTCGAAAGGGCAACTTCACGAGCTATGTCACACACCATACATTACCTGTTTCTAAAGTTGCAACCTATGCGTAAACTAATTCAGTTTACACGCGTGAAAGATACGGTATTCACAAATTCAATTTTCCCCGCCAAACAAGTTTCATGTTGATGAATTTCGCACTCATTAAGCGTATTTGTTTACCATTTACAACATATAAACTTGAAAAAGAAACCACCACTGTATTTTCAGAATGTTTACTTCAAGGATCTGCGGTCATCTAAACCTAAGCAAAATTAGGTAAGTAAAGTTACGCTTAAATTATGTTCTGTAGACATGTATGCTACAAAGGATCTGTTTAAGATACAACATGCAGCTGCCATTAGATAGAAACTACACTCACCTCCACTTTGCTGCAGAGCACTTCGTAAGCCTCCTCCAAACACCATGCCCCACATTCCTGCCTTAAGGGAGTTAACAACTAATCGATAGAGTTGATTTGGCTGCGAGTTGGACCAAGCAAGGGCTAAAAGACTAAGGTACACTGCTACACAAGCTTCTCCCAACATGATTCGTAGCTTGGTGCTGTTGTCTTTGTTTTCTGTGGCTAGCAGAGAGAGCAGCAAACGGACTCCTGGCCATTTAGACGGTGAACTGCCAGGACTTGCTGCTTTGTTTGGATCAGTTGCACTGCCATCCTTGCCACCTTTGGCTAAAAAGCAAACATCAACATATTTGTAATGGGATTATCAATTCTATTAGTAGCTGGAGAACATGACGATTTCAAACGTCTCCTGATGACAGCTGGCTATTCAAATCCTGGGAACTATAGAATACTCAATGCAAGACTTCTCACTAATGAGAGACAATGGACATTAGCAATATTTCAAGGACCTGTTGGTTTACCATGGTTGACACAGACATCACTTTTCAAAATTCTCTGACTTTTTCCCTGATAAAAATAGCATTTCCCTGACCAAACAAAAATACAAAATGTCAGATCTACATGTAGTAGCGGCTTCTAGCGCGAACTTACAACCGCCCTTTCTACTCGTTCATTAAGACTGAAAAGTTTTCAACAAATTTTCCTTCTTCATTGAGGAAAAATAACATTGAGATCACAATGACCCCAAAGTTTCCTCCAGCTTTCAATGGTATTAAATCAGCCGCGTTAAATTACTTCAATTTTCCCTGTTTTTTCTTCAAAATGTCAGTTTTTCCTGGCTTAGAATAAAATTCCCTGACTTTTTCAAGACCTTAAAAAAGTGTTTTCCCTGACCATTTCCTGACCTGTGGTAACCCTGTTTAACAAATGTGGACATGTCACAGTCGGTTGTCGTCAATGTAATATGTCACAGTTTTAGTCACGAAAACGTTTGTTCTAGAGTAAGAGGTCTGCCAACTATTAGAAATTCTACCTTCCGTCAATCAGACCATGTCATTATAATGCTCACAGATTGCAAATTAAGGCTTTCTAGCATATATTTTTTGCATTTTGTTCCTTGCTAAAACCTTGCAGTCAAATTTCATAGCTGGAGTCAGATTTGAACATTTCAAAGGATACTCCAAAAGATATTTCTTCCGCGATTGTTTCCACGGTACATACCATTCTACTTTCAGTCAAACAATCTATTGTCTGTTACCCGTTACCTGTGGAAAGACCTAGTGACGCTTTCCTCTGAGAAGCTTTAGATCCACCCAACGCACCCTTTTCCTGGGTCATGCCTGTTAGACTCTGATAGATACAGTCTGACAGCGTGCCTGTCATGTTGTGTAGTACATTGGCTAAACGAATTGGATGGCTGGGAGATGGCGGACCAGGCAAACTGCGCAGAAAAATACTCATGGTAAGCTAAAAAACTGTTTCATATTGAATGTTTATAGCGGTCGATACGATTAGACACAGCTAGCTAGTTCTCAGACATGCCACTTAACTGAAAGAAAAAGTTCACTTACATGTAGGATCTCTTAGTCAATAAAAGCAGTGAGTTTATAAATGCAAACAGGATTTTGTAAGTCATAGTCAAAATTAATATAAAACAATCTATACTCTGCTTTAATTTATGTTCTGAATAATAACTCAGTCATTATTTAATTTTAGTGACTGTAAGCGCCAGACCCTCAAGAATTTAATCAAGTTGGGATAAATCCTTGGATTGTTTTCCTCGTAAGCGGGGAAACACAATACGCATTCTTAGTCTGCTACGGAAACGGAAAATTCTTCTCACCTGAAGACAAATCTAAGAATATCCCGTGTGAGGGACTGTAAGAATCCAAGAGGACTGGCCAGAAAAGAGTAAGCCGACACTGACGCCAGGATAAGAGGGGGGACGGATGGTCCTGCTGAGGGCACGTGCAGCGGTGACACAAGTGAATGCATCTGTTCAACCTCATGAAGCAGCAGTAGAAGTTCCATGTTCATTGCTACAAAAAGGTCAACGATAAGTTAAATCCGCTCCAGTCAGTGAGATTGCAATAACCAAAACTTGGCTTCTGAAGGGAGTATTTACTACATCCCTAGGTGGAAGCAGCGTGATTCTTTGAATATCTACAGTCGCTCGCTCTCGCTACCTCTTCACACCATCAGTGATATATCTTGCGGCTGATTCTCGTATGGACAGAGATCACTCGCTCACTCGAGCAACCTGAGCCTGTATGAGAATCAGGCTAGGATGGAGCAGACACATTTGGTAGTGGCTAGCATTCTAGACCCTGCTTCAAATAGTCTAGGTTCGAGCACTGGCTGAGGTCATTGTGTCACGTTCTTGGGTAAGATAGTTAACTCTCAGAGTGCCTCTCTCCACCCACAAGTATAATGGCTATCTGGTAACAGGACAAAGTGCTAGGGGGGTAACTTGCAATGGATTAGCATCCCATCCAGGGGGGAGTAAGGGGAGTAGCAGTACTCTATACGTTCTGCCAGTTTGGGGGGGGGGGGTACCTTTGACCCTATTCCTTGACCTGGGATGTTAGTCTATCTCAGAACAGTTTGTTACATTGCCACAAGAATTTTATCACCCCGTATACCTGAGTGGAAGGTGGCAATGCACATGTACAACCATGATGCAAGGAATCAAACAAGAGAGAAACACATTACCTGCTAAATCTCCACCACTGGCTCCATGAAGAGAGCAATAATTCAGCAAGATTGTAAGTAGTTTCTGATTCTTCTTTAGCCACTGAATGTGCTTGGCAGAGCGGTCAATTTTCAGAGCAATGTAGTTTTTATCACCGGTGCTTCCTTCTTGTAGTTCATCTGCTGTGAAATAAAATGACACAGACAGCAAGCGTAAAGCAGGGAATTTAAAACATCAGTACGTACATTTTCAGATCTTTGTGTTAAATGTTCCTTAGTGTTACTTCATAAAAATGTTTTTGACAATACTTTGCTGGTTTGCCTGATGCAATGCCAATCAAAGTTAAGTGAATAACAATTTCCAGACTTGCAAACCTATAGCTAAACAGTTCTTCCAAATCAATGACCATCAAACTATGTGTGTCTTTCAAAATCTCAAACAACTATTTGAGAATTGACAACTGACCAAAACTCATCAGAACAGGGGTGCAGTCACAGGCAACCTAAGCCCATGACATGAAAAATGCAGGTAATTAAAAGCCGTACGCCCCCTTATATGTTTTCTGGTGTGCCAGTGAGTTATTCTACTGATCGGAGGGGAGAGAGAGTTACAGCGTGATCCAATTCCAAACAAGCCGATAGGGTAACATAACTCTCAGAATTTCAGGGGAACTGATGTGGTGAGGGGTATGCAGCAAGATTCATAACTTCGCTTACTTCAGAGTATCGTGAGTCTGGGTTACCTTCATTGCAGCTGGTCCCTACCTGACTCAACATTGATTTCAACAGCATCCTCCTCTTCCTCGTCGCTCTCCTCAGCCACACTTCCATAGTCCGACATCTTGTGCAGGATCTCCAGTTCTTTTTCTAACCACTTTATAAAAAACGGCCTCAAATCTTCGTCAGCAATCTCACAACTTGAAGGTAAGCCATGCAGTTCATTGATCAAAAGTTTCAGCATTGCAGAAAACTTCATCTGCTGGGCAACAACATCTAAATGGCGTGTCTCTTTTGACTTTGCAACGCGAGATTCACTATTTTGCAAATTAGTATCGTCAACTGAGCTCTCTTTTCCAGTCTCTGAGTCATCATGAATGTCGTAACTACCATTTATTCCATCTAACCCAATTCCACCAAGCTTTTCCGACACAGGCTGGCTCCAATCAAAACCATTTGACAGGTCTTCCAATCCACCACCACCCAACTTTGATGAAACAGGTTTAGACCAGTCAAAATCATCAACACCACCACCAAGATCAGAGGCCAATGGCTGACTCCAGTCGAAATCAGCTGAGGAATCGCCACCGAGTTTGGATGAGATGGGCTTACTCCAGTCAATCTCTTCAGCTTTGCCATTAGCCAGTGCATCTGTGTATGAACCACCGAATGAAAAGTCACTTAGTGTACCAGTGCTGATCATGTCACCTGTCACATCATCGACAGTCCCACTGGTCTCTTCAACCAGTGATTCATCTTCTGTGGGCCTGTCCACATCTCGTTCAGATGTGTCTGTCGCCGGTAATTCCATTAACACCTGCAGAGCTAGAGCAGGGCACCCCGAGTTCAAATGTGCATGGGCCGTCTTGAAGAAGAGTTGTCTTTCCATGGGAGTTAAAGGTTCGTCAATGATCTCTTCCTCGGTGATACTTCTCATCTGCCTTGGAAGATTTCTTACACCAGATTTCGTCTTGTTCTTGTTGTCGTGTTCATGCATGAACCGTCTTCTTTTAATCAGTGGATGCTTGCGCAGATGGAGGTAAAAGTTGAATATGTCAGGATTTCCACTGGCTGCTAGTGGATTGCATTTCCTTTCTTGTGATTTGTGAGTGGTTGGTTCAAATATCAGTGTTTCCAGAGCTTGGTTGTAGTCTTTCATGATCCAGTATGCAATGCTTCGAAGAAAAGGGTCTGAAATGGTAATGAATAGTACTGTTGTCATTACATACCTCGATAACAAACGGAGATGATTTGGTTACAGTTACTCAGATTTTATCGGGAATTATCCTCATTTCTCTCATAGCTTTATATCTTGTATGCCAATTTTTTCTAAGCCGTTGGACTCAAAGATAAGTATTTACTTGTTGAAAGTCGCGACTCTTGTGGTTAAAAGTTAAAACACCTTTAGTAGCCATTCAGCTGTTTAGTTTTGGAAATCTGCAAATCTGATTGCTTCTTTCATCGTTTTCCAAACGTTGATGAACAAAGATCGTGTACACGCTGCTATTGAAACTGAAAATTATTGTGCAGTTTAGGCTCAAAAAATACAAAAATTGTAGGTTTAGTGCTGTAATCCTCTGGAGTGTCTACAAAACAATAATTTAGATTATTCACCCTCGTTTTCTATGCGGGAATAGTCTAATTGTTAAAGACAGACCATAGTAATCAACGCATGTGATAGATATTCCAGAAACAACGAAAAAACATAACTATTATCCAAAGTTACACCACTGTGAAATCAATGCTTCAAAGACCAATCAATAAGAGGTTCAGTAATTTAAGAGATGTCTCTTTGTCTGGTTTAAGTTCCATGGAAGCTTTTTATTACACCTTACCCTGGATTGGTTCATGCGCATTATCACCCTGACCCAGTAGACACTCCTTTAAAATGCGGGTGTACAGAGGTCCACTTGAAGTGTCTTCCTCATACAGTCGAGCCAGGACCATAGCCAGTTGAAAATCATGAAGTCGGCTAATGCAAACCTGAGTAGGGGATTAAGTAGGAAAATTTAAAATACACCCTGACGATTTATATGCAATTTTAAAATATCATTCCTCCCCAAATGTTGACATCAATTTACAGAAGCATCCAACCAGAATCCTGGCTCCATTCTCAAACTCATTAATAATTCACCAAGTTAAAACNATATCAAACACTCAAGACAGTGTTTCATCGGCTATCCAAACACCACGAATTTCGTCAAAAATACTCCGCTGCACGTCTTATTTTCAACTCTCTTCTCGGTGTTTCGAGATATCCCGATGAAACACTGTCTCTTATGTTTGATATATTACGTCAAACAAGTGGGCCCTGGCGTATAATTATTATTCGAAGTGAGAAGAGGTTTTAAGCACCTGTATTGCATCCCACAATGAACCTGCCAGGAGGAAAAACGCTGCAGCGTGATCAAATCTCTGTTTGCCTAACAAAGAGTAGGCATTCTTCAGTGCTGCTTTACGCCATCTGTCTTGAGTGAAGTCCCTAGCAAAGAACTGGGACATCTTGGTATCTCTAACAGTTCTGTCAATAATAAAAAAAAAAGCTTTAGGTTTAAATCCTTCCACAAAGCTTTGCAATGATAGATACTAGGAAGGCTCAAGTAGCTGTTTGCGCTGGCTAATAGAAAAGCATTAATACATTCTGGGCTGTACAAGGTTTAACCACAGAAACCATAGTCCCCTTATCCATTGGTTACAACTTACCTTCACGTGTTGAAGAACAAAGCTCTATCTAAGTACTTTGACATGTACAGAACTTGCAAAACTTAAAATATCAGAAGTGACTGATAGATGAACAATTTACCACTCGCTAAACGAGTGTCATAAACTAGTTACTGAGAGAACAGACACAAATTTACACTGAAACTACAACAAACCTATACAAGCCACAGACGACATTCTTCTTTTTCATCGCCAAGTAAAACAATGCACAATCGATGGGTTCTTGCTTCTTTGAGAACTGTGCCTTGGCAGTCTAAAAGAAACAATATCCACAACGGTTAAATAAAACCTGAAAGCCTGCTCCTGTGATAGAACTATGGCATGTGTCTAACCCGGAACGTTTGGGTAAGCAAAACTGATAGACTGTTGTTGAACTGAGGGGAAGTTAGCATGTTTTTGAAACGTCACAATGTTCTCACCTTAGTGACAATCGCACTCGTTGTATCGCAGATTGTAATGAATTTGTGAGAAGGAGGCTACACACTTGTTTAGGAACTTACCGGAATGCAGTTTTACGGAAAAAGACAGCAAAAAAAAAAAAAAAAAAAAGGTTCAACAAGATTCAAATCAAAAGGAGTGACGAAGCGTTAATTACTTTCAGGCGAAAAGCTGCTGTATAACTGCAGTTCGCAAGTCTGATTCACTGCACCTATTTCTTGTGGGATAAAACTGTTGCAAACAATGTGAAAAGCAAGTTAAGGGCTATGTGTTTTAAAATTGGCTTTCTAACCGTTTCATTCATGACATATAGATCAAGTTTGTGCGTATACTGGAAAACATTATGTCACCGCTTCTTTTTATTTAGTTACCTTCTCTATGAGCCTTCTCAGTGTGTCATTACTTCTGACCCACCATCCAATTCCGTATTTCCTCAGTTCCGACCAAATGGCTTCACCTCTCAGCACTGGAGGAACCATAGCTAACAATTCTTCCTCGGATTCAGAATGGAAAGCCCAGCCATAGTATGAAGAGGACAAACCCTACAAGAATTCAACACTTAGCAACAATACTTAGTAGAAGTACAATGTCTGAATGTGTCTGCATAGGGAAGGTTAGTGTGCAAACAGGAAAAATAAGAGTGCTAAGGAGGAGAGAGTTTCTGCATATTTGGTATAAGGTGTACAGGTGTCTGCTTTGGAGGGAGTCCCGATCATTCACTAAGAATAGGCAAGTGTTTGCGTGGGGTATACAGGAGCCTGCTTATGACAGAGAGGCATCCACTAAGGGAAAGTGACTGTCTTCCTGGGGCAGATGAATGTCTGCTTAGCAGTGATTAGTGTCCATTCAAGGAAGGTGAGTGTTTGTTGGGATGTTCAAGTGTCTTCTTACGAGAGATGACTGTCCTCTCAGCAGAAGTGAATGTCCACTCAAGCATGGTAAGAGTCCGCTTACAACAGACAAGTGTAAGAGACGACCATCTGTCTAGCAAATTCTCTGCTCAAAAATAGTAAGTGTGTGGTTAGGCATGCGAGTGTCTGCTTTGCATTTTCGTGAGTGTACAGTTACCAGGGTGTATGTCTGCTAAAGAAAGGTGAACTGCCTGGTGGGAAAGAGTTTCTGCTTAGGGGTAAGATTCCATTGAGGAGTTTGAGTGTCTGCTTAGAAGAGGTTAGCGTCCACTTCACAGAAGTGAGTTGCGGAGAAGGCGAGATGAGCGTTGGTAGAAGGCCAGTTTCACTTACTTTTTCCTCAAGCACTGCTCTGTGTTTAGGAGGAAGTGATCTCATCAGGCAGGTATGATGTCTCATGGCAAGTAAAAACCGCAGCCCACACTCATCAACAGCATCTCCACCACTCCCTGCTGTGGCACCAATACTCCCTGTCGTAGCATACCCACCCCCTCCCCCACCGGGACCTCCCATAAGACCGCCAATGCTACTGTAACCTTCATCTGGGGGAAAAACAATCAAAGCTCGATCAACTTATCTATACTGTAGTATTTAACCAGAAGTGTATAGTTCAATCTGGTACATGTAACTATAAGCACACGAAAAAGGTGAGATGAGATCTCTTTTCAATACAATAACCAGACAATCAAAATGACCAATATGTAATAGCCTACCCTCTTTCTTTGCAAATTTGACTCCTCTTTCAATAGAGCCAGGGCTTTCTTCCAAGTCTAGTTTAGCGGAGGCAAATGTATCTGCCAAGGCCAACAATTCCAGTTGTTCAATACTGGTTAAGCCAGGAAGGGGTTTCTTTGTGAGTTGATAGGACAGCAATCGAGCCTGAGGGGAAAAAGAGAAATCACAACATTACCAAGATAAGCAAGGAACAAATTACAGTAAAAACCATACCCTTTGAATACTACACATGTTATGCAGTAAATGGTGTAAAACAATCTAAGTTCTCATAGTGTCTAAAGATCTAATAAAATAATAAAATCTAATAGACTTCTTTCTATTCAGAATATACTCTTTCATTTCAGTTTCATTTACCTATACTTTAACGTTACATCACACGTACTGTTACAGACCTGTGCCAAGCCAAAGTGTACAGGACTACCAGCCTGTGCCACACGTGTTGGACTGCTTTTGTTTCTCTTCCTATCCAGGAATCTGTTGTCCTCATCATCTGATTCAAAACTAGAGCCATATCGTGATGTTTCAAACAGGGCACTGTAATCAGTTTCATCTGTCGATACCCCTTGAGCTCCATCCACTGAGTCCCCTAATGAAACAAGGAGGGTCACTTAGTAAATGCAGGCAAGAGTAGCAAGCGTGACCAAGGTCATGAAAGTGGAAAAGGTGTCTAGGGTGGCAAAGATGGCAAGAGTGGCAAAGCTGGCCAGGGTAGCAAGGGTAGCAAGGGTGGCAACAGTGGACAGGGTAGCCAGGGCGACGAGGATGGTGAGGGTGGCAAAGCTGGTCAGGGTGGCAAAGGTAGGAGGGGTGACAAAAGTGGGCAGGGTAGCCAGGGCGACGAGGATGGTGAGGGTGGCAAAGCTGGTCAGGGTGACAAAGGTAGGAAGGGTGACAAAAGTGGGCAGGGTAGCCAGGGCGACGAGGATGGCAGAAGTGGCAAAGCTGGCCAGAGTGGCAAGGGTAGCAAGGGTGGCAACGGTAGGCAGGGTGGCCAGGGCTGCGAGGATGGTAGAAGTGGCAAAGCTGGCCAGGATGGCAAGGGTAGCAAGGGTGGCAATGGTAGGCAGGGTGGCCAGGGCAGCAAGGATGGTGAGAGAAGCAAAGTGGCAAAAGTGGTGAGGGTGGTGCAGAGATCAAAATCTTCAGAAGGTTGTTCATAAAGCAATCATCTTCTTTGCTTTGACGATTTTTGTTGGTGGTGGCTTATTTTTGACAGTGCAAACCAGCAATTGAAGTAATACTCAGGAGAAATATTAGCTTAGGTTGGCTTCTTGAATTTGAACATATTGGGAATCTATAGACTAAGAACAATAATTATGTTAAAGAGGGAATNGATCCACTTCCACTAGTATCTTTGTCAGCAGCTAGAAGAGCATACAATGGTAATGGTGGAACAGACAAAGCTCCTTCTTTCTCATCGCCCTCCAATCCGTTGAGATCTGGTTCACTACTGCTGGAGACATTCCCAATGCTCTTCATGCTGCTGATACTGCTAAGGCGTGGCCTGTTGTGTGATGACTGGTCAAGGACTTTTGTTGCTGCTTCCATGGCTTCTCGTCCAACCACACAACAAACCTGACAAAGTTTTACAAGACAAAATTAACATTTACTATGAACCACAGATCTTTGTTTTTCAGTATGTACAGCCCACAGCTTCTATAGAGAAGCTGACTGTGGGCAACTGGGAATACCACACGCAGATTACATATACATTACATTCACACATCTAATACTTAGTCTAGTAAGAGGTGAACCGTGAAATCTTACTCAAATCCTTACCAAATGATGCAATATAGCTCGGACCCTTCTCAGTTTGCCAAAGTTCATCAGTTCCATCAGATGTTTGGGATGAAACTGTGGCAAAACAGGAGCGATTGTGGCAGCTCCTTCAAACAGACCAATCCCGCTTCCAGGTGTCAATGAAAGAGGAACAAGTTGTCCTGTCCCACCCCTTGAGGCTTCGCTAACCTTCTGCAAGGTTGCAGTAGGAGCAAATGTCATAGTGTCTGAGGGAGAAAGGGTGCCATCCGTGGCTGCCCTCCACTGTGAATAGACCTGCATTTCAGTGCCAAGCCCAACAACAAGGACTCCATTTCGAATCCAGGACAATGCTCTGGTCAGCAGCTGCCATTTATTTTCTGACGTTAAATGGACACTGTGAAGGAGGAGCCATGTTTCCTTGCCAGTGGAAGAACTCTCCCCTCTTACAGATGTGTTTGCTATTCTTGAAGCACAGCCAAGAATAAACACTTCACTACCGATACAGACTGTTAGGACGTACGAGCCATCTTCCGCCGAAGTCCACTCTAAACGAATCTGTGAGTCATCTGTGACAAACTTGCAATCAAGTTTTAAGGTATCCTCCAGAACCCAGTCCATTCCACCAGATGACTCGTTCTCCCAGATGCAAACTGAAAGATCTGGCTTGCCTGTTCCTTGGGCTTCGGACTTCCTGATAAGTGTGGCAATTCTCCCAGTGTATGCGCAGCTAAGAGAAAGCACTTCACCAGGGGCATCCAAACCTAAAACACGGCCATCAAGCTGCTTCTTCAAATGAGAGTATTTCCGTCCATCTGACAGCCAAGAGGTCTCTTGCCACACAAACTGATTCTCAGAGACAATTTCCCTGCAAGACCAGAACCTAACTTTCCCATCAGAACATGACGAAGTGAACAAGTACTGTGCTGGGCATGTCGGATTAACTGCAGAGGAAGACATCTTATCTGCAGCTCTGGTGGCTGTAGTGATGGTTGTCCCTTTAGGAAGTGGAAGTCTCTGACAGCACACTCTCCTTGATACAATGCTGCTGGTTACATGTCCCGACTGTGGCAAGTTAAGGGGGCTTACACTTCGGTTGGATGCACTACTGCTGCTTCTGCTGATAGGCTGTACAACCTCAGGGTATGCTGATATCGACTCCAAGCCTGATCCCTTCACATTCACTTCTGGTTTTGTCGCAGTTACAGTCACCTGCCACATGTAAATCATAGACACAGTGTCGTTGTCTTCATCAATGACATTTTCAATGCCAACAATGTAAAAGGTGTCTTCTGATTTCCGTGAACTTTGCTGTTGGTCCTCCTCATTTTCACAGCTCTGCTTATCATGTGAAAAAAGGCATGATGACTTCACAGAACTCTCAGTGAAAACGTGCAGCAACAGGGGTTCTCGTAGGACATCTTTAGAATCAGCTAATGAACAAAGCTTAAGAATACATCCAGGTGTTGCCCCTGACTGTCTGCTCACTATGGACTCAATAAAGCATTCAATTGGAACTGAGCTGCTTGGGCTTTCAAAGTCCAATGAGTCTAGGCTTCCTTCACTACCACTAGAGTACAGAGTTGAACGTGTTCTGGTCTTGTTGCTTGAAATATAGCCTTGTAAAGTTCTGGCATCAAGGATAACTTGGTAAAATCTGTAACAAGTTCCATCTAGGGCCAAGAAACATGCGCAAGGGGCTACAGCATGGGGTGGTATTGAAGTAGTGCTGTCAAATGAAATCAGTGAGTATGAGAATAACGTTGGAACCCAAGCTATGTTCATAAAAGCATTGGGACGTGATGAGTTTACACGTGTAAGCTCCATGACTCCACCACTCTGTCGCAAGGGCGATACACTTTCAACCTTCCAGACAATGAGTTCATTGCAATGCAGCTTTCGAGTTTTGTCTCTATTGCCATCCAATAGGCTTAACAAATCTACATTGTTCCAACTGTCCTCTCCCTTCCTCACCTCCATTTCGTGGCTTGACGTTGAAAGCATCAACGGTAATTCTGGATGTGCTAAAATGTTCGTTATAGGATACCTATGTCCACATCTACGTGCGTGATGAGAAACACTAACTACAGTAGAAAACGATGAGTTGTCAGCAAATGCAAGTTGCCATAGGTTGAGCGCACCGTCCCTGTGTGTGGATATCATGATCGCTGTGGGATGTGTCCCTCCGGTGGAACTCCCAAAACTTGATCGGGAAATGTTCAGAGCCATGCCACCAACTTTGGGTGTTATCCTCTGACCTGCAGAAGCATTGTCATTCTTATTTAACATCACATTTCTCAGAGCCATCACTTTGTCCTCTCTGGGACAGTACACAATGAGTTTGTTCAAAAGTGAGTTTGCATCAGCAGGAGGAAGGACGTTTGGAATCCGAGATAAAAAACTAACTTGAGGCTGTCTGTACGGAACACCATTCTGAACATCAAGCCATTCAACAAGCCACACTAACAGTGAACCGTCGACTGGATGCACAGCGAGAAGTGTGTCCAAACTGTTGTACCACTCATGAAGCAGGTTTCCAATACATGAAGATACAACTACAGCATAAGTACTTGATTCTTCAATGTCACTTAGCGTGTCATCTTGAAGGTGTTTCAAGTAATCTAGTGGAGTTCTTGCTCTTGGTGAACATGGTGGTTTGAATTCTTTTGTCCTCTCTGGGGTTTGTTTCTCTTTCTTGCGGGTTACAGCTGGGGATGCTTGAAAGGAAAAGAAGATCAAATTTTAGTGAAGACTTTTGCCATGAGAGGATGAAAAGTGAGAGTGTTAACCCTCATATAGGCCTTACTTCTCAGGTAATCCTACTCATGACAAGTGGTTTTTAGAAATTAGTCAATCCTGTGACATAGATTTTGCCCATGTGGACAGCTCTAGCGGTGTAGCATGCATCCTCCTACACAAAAAAATATCCAAACAATGTGTGCTAGCCTTGTCCATAGACGTGTACCATATCTAACTCAAGGGATTAACTTGAGAAGACCTTTGTGGGGGATTAACTCTCGTACCCTTCATGGTCTCTTATGTTTGCATCTGAACCTTTGTGAAATCATTTTGAATTGGCAAAACAAGAAATACTGTAAGTGACTTTCAGGACAAAAGAAGGATGCCACTTTTATCCTGTTCTTCTCTATCTGATACTCAAAAATTTGCAACAGTGAAATTTACATTGCACAAGTCCGGAAGGTATGATGAAGGTATGATATATCATGCACTACATGATGAGTGATGCAGCAGACCCTGGTGTACAGAATCTTACGTTCAGAATTATTGAGGATCATACAAGATCTTTAAAGGTCTACTAAAGATCGCTCAAGATCTTACATTAACAATTGCTGCAAGATGTTTGAAAGATCTTGCAAAGATCTATGCAAAGATCCTTCAGGGCCTAAAAACCATCTTGGCAAGATCTTTGAGCAAAATCTCTGCAGGATCCTTGAAGATCCAAAAGGATCTTGGTTACGATCGAGACAAGAATTTTAAAATATCCATAAACACCAATAAAGTTTCTTGGCCAGGGTCTTAATGATCTTAATTAAATCTCCATGAAAAAAACCATAAGATCCTCAAGAACGCTGGAAAGACTTTCCACAGGGGAGGCCCCACTTAGCTTAATCCCTCACCAATTTTCTTTGTACTGTATTCCATTAAGGGGGATTTTCATCGGCTAGTGCATCTATAGTAGCAGTGAAACCTAAGCTACATGTACCTAGAGAGCCACCCAACAGTGTTCAATGCACAGTACATGTACATGCTCTCCCTAACCTGTTCACACATGTTTGAAGATAGAAACATGATTTTAACATTCTCAAGTTTTGTGCTGTGGACACTTACGCTTGGGGGAATCCAAAACATCCTCATCACTGGGTACTAAGAGCTCTGCTTCACTGCTGCTTATGGAAGAGTCGTCACTGACATCGACACTCTCTACTTCAAGAGCAAGCACAGGAGCACCAAGACATGACTCAGCTGCCATAGTGAACTGGATTTCCTTGTTATTCAGCCAATGTAGAACAAAACTGCTGTGATTACTGTCTGAGATAGAACAAAGTGATGACAGCAGCGGAATATCGCTCAAGGGATTTACTGCCACAGCAATGTGAAATTGCAGAGAAGATGAAAGCTGGTATCTTAGTAGAGGATCAGTCGATGGATCATCCTTTGTTTGAGATTTTTTCTGCTGCTGGGATAAATGCCACAGACACTTGTGGTTGTTCTTTGTGGGATGGGAGAGTAAGTCATTGTGGTCACCTTGTTTGATTGATTCACACCAGATGCGACACACATTGTCAGTGCAGGATGTTAAGAGACAATTGGCGACAGTGGAGCTGGCAAATAATAATAATAACAATGACAACCTTGAGATTGTTCACATCTAAAAACAACTTAATAGTCATCAAAATACAATTAACCTGACAGGATAATCCTTTGCTGTTAAGAACATCTAAAAAAGTTAAAACATTGCAACTAAAAGGTAATTTTTGAGAATGAGCATAAAAAGACCATTACATACATTGGCATGTATTTGCTGGTCTTTCTCCAGGAAATTCCAGTCACAGGGCCAGGATGTGCCAGGTAAACAAAAGTGTAGTCCAAAATGCCATTGCTTTTAAACTGGTTCATGCTCTGCAGCTCTTCACTCTCAAACTGTGGGTTGACTAAAAAAAATGTTCAAGAGGATTTACTACAGGTGAAGTCTCTGTTAAGCCTCCAGTAAGACACCAGTAATTTCCTTTATTGTTAATTTATTAAGAGAACAACAGGAAGGGGAGAGGGTTGCAGCTAAATAAATTTCTCACCCAAAAGAGGAGGAGCTTTTAAGATAAACTGTAGACTAAAACATTATTTTTGGGAGTCAGGACTTCATAGAAATTTTATAGCAACCAAATTATAAGGAGCCTGTTAGTCAATAGTGTACTGTACCTAGAATTGTAGGCAAGCAATCTGTGCAGAGGACTGTGTATATGCAGCAACAGTGCTTTGCATGCATTGTGGACTTATGATGCTAGGTAGTATTTGTAACTTTGCTGGAGGAAACATTCATTTAATACTTATCTGTTTAACGGTTAAAAACAGCTGGATAGTTAATGAAAGGTTAAGAGCCTACAAAGTATTTCCATTCCAATTGATAGCATTCAACATTTGATGCTTCCTGAGTACACAATACAAGCAAAGGCTGTGAGCCTGTTTATCCACTAGGAGAAATGTTCAGGAGTTGCATTCAAAGGTTATTTGAAGACCTAGGATTAACCCTAGACTAGTTATTGAAACTCACCTTGATTGTTGTCAAACCAGACTTTAACAAGCCTGTCATGCTGAAATAACACAAAAACTGATTACTTCTTTACTATGGTATTCTATTGTGTATAACCAGAACAGTTCACCCATTGGGCTAACTATTGATGATAAAATAAACAGTACCTCAATTTAATTAATGGCTGAAATATTTTTTTGATACCTTTCCTACAGATGAAAAATACTGCCCATCCGGAGAAAACTGAAGAAGATGGACTGGGACAGAAGGTCTGAATGAAAAGGAAAAAACAGTTAGCACCATACGTGTACATTGTGTAGCCTTCTTTAAGTGTCAGAACCACTTAGTGTAAACTTTTACAAAGAAAGTGGTCCAGCTGTTTCTAATGGAAAATTCTTTTCTCATTCTCTGTAAATTTAGTAAACTGTACAAGATATGCCATGTTTTAACTGGGGTTAGGCAAAAGAATGTTAGTTTCAAGGGTTCATGTAACTGGATAAAACTTATTGTCATATCACATTGCCAATATGTGTGCTAGATATGTGTCGAATGTTGAGATATTAATGAAATATCACAAGAACAAAGTGGGATATTCATCAATTATCATTTGCATTACTTTTGCACAGTGCTGTTACATACTTGCATGCCCAAATACATGTCCAGAACACATCCTCCTCCAGCAAGTCTCTTTGTTCATGGTACTCTTCACAGCTCCAGAGCTGAATAAAGTCACCACCCACAAGAAGCCGTTTACCTAGAATATTCATATGTAATACAAGACATCTGGTAACTATGCAACATTAAGAAAGATGAGATATTCCACTATTTGAAATTTCTGTAATTTCTGGGAAAAATTGATACGGTAACCGTAACTATTACTACCGTTAAGAAATTGAAAACAATAAACATTACCTAATTATGTTATTGTTCAGTTTGTTACAGAAAGCAACACTAATATACGTGTATTTAATACTTAATATATATTAATAAAAAACGTTCCGTTCTTTCATAGGAAGACATTGTTTCATGTATCTAATAACAGTTTGCTTTGCTGACTTATTGATTATGCATTATTTCAGTATTGTTTTCAAAATGGGTGGATATTTGGGACGACAAGAAAACATGTTGTGGCAACATTCAAACCTCTGAACCTATGCAAGGATTTAAAATCTAGAGATTATAACCAAACAAACATCACAAACCCTATGGCCCAACACAATGACGGTTACCTGCAAGTACATTGTACAAAAGTACAATCATGCATTTCAAGCATCATTTTCAAGAATCAAAGTTGGTTCTACATGTATAGCTGTTAAATGTATAATGAATCACTATGTGTTTCAACTCTATAGAAACATGGACAAAGTATGTTGTTTATTGTCAATTTCCATTACAAAACAATGTCTTTTTATGTTAATTTTCTTCACAAAAACACTGCAAAGAAAAGCTTAATTTCCTGTGAGTTGGACATGTGGCTTAGTCTGCCAACCAAAGCACAAATATATTTGCATGTCACAGTCATGTGTTTTTAATCTTATAGAAAGTCATATGTACATGTATGTTGATATGCTAACATTACACAGTAAAAAGTTGCTATCACTAAATAAAGCTTTAAAATCGTTAACATTTTAACATTCTACATGTCTTAAAGTTTGCTGATATTTCACGTATAAATAACACACTTTTTGCATTTTAAATAACTGATTCTTACCTTCTCTATTCCATGACAAACATGTAATCCTGAAGTTAAGACAAAGTTCTGCTGACTTTTCCCAATGAAAGGGAAACCCCTTAAAAAAAAAAAATTGTAGAAGCCATTTAAAGTTAATGTTGGATGTTGTAAACAAAAACAAAAGTCAAGAATAAGATAACTGAAAACTAAAAAGTAGTACCAGTTTAAATGTTACGCAGTCATTTACTAGCACTTACATGATTGTTGCTGACTGCTGCAGATTTGGCCTCAAATATCATAACCTGCTTTCCATAAGATGCTGCAATCTGTTAAAGGAAATTTATTCACCATACATATGTCAATTTGAAAGAGTAGAAATAATCCTAGTCACTTCATGCTACAGCAACCAGGATAAGCTCCCACCTGATGGGCCACTTGGCTTATATGCAGACTTTACCTCTGCCAATTTTGATACCACCATTTAAATAGAGAAACATTTATTACTTATGGTTATACAGCAACATCTGGTCCAATGATAGGTATCATGAAAACTGCATAGTATTACATGTATTTTGTGAATTTGTCAAAATTCACCCCAAAGTCTTGCTTACAAGTAACTGTCATTTTTTATTTATCTTATTTTATTTTATTTTATTTATTTTTTTACACTCTGTAAGCATCTTCACAGTGTTCCCCTGTGCACATTGTCTTAAAACTTGCTGCTTTGGAAATTGCTTGTTGAGAAACTTTACAGGTTTACAGGTTTTTTCTATCTTAGTAAACTATTATTTTCAGGTTTCCTTTAAAGGTAATTTTGCACATGGCCAAAATATTTCAAAATGCAGTGACTGAGCTCCTTTAAAAGCAAATGCCTGGGAGCAAAACTAGCAAATAATTTAGACAGAGGTGTAAAGGTTCCCCACAGTATTCCCAATATCCACAACATTCACCACAATATTTTAGCATGGTCTGGTTTTGTATTATACCATATTTGGTGTACTCTTACACCTATAACCCGAGACAAAATTAAAGAAGGGCTTATAAAATTACAATGGTTTATGCTTGAAAACAAACAAGAACTAAGCAGTATGGATTTTATACCTTTCCATCGGAATCACAACAGTTGATGCAGCTGACTTCTTTATAGCCATACAAAGACCCTGGGATAATCTGTACTCTGGTGAACCCACTCAACAGAATAACAACATCACAACCAGATGCATAGGCCTGTGAAAACAAATACCGCTAAGACAAGACAACCATTGTTGTTTTTAACAATAATACTTCCATATATGTGTGTATAATTCTATACAAAATGTTACAACTGATCATTATTTTTATAGCACTCCATTCTTTCTACATGTAGCTTGCAAGCCAGGTTACATAAATTGAATTGACAACGTCATAGGCCATAATTTGCCATGAAAATTTCCTGCCTAGTCTCTGTTTACAATATAAAAGTTCTTTCCAATAATATTTCCAGTCTGTTAATTTTGCCAGCAACCTTTTTCAATACTCCTTTTTCAATACACCTGCTCATAGCTTGTGAAGGTCAGCTAAATTTACAACACAGCCAGTAAAACTGTGCAATTTAAATCAATACCATAAGCATGCGTCCATAACTCAATAGGCTCACAAACCATTTTTCCTCTTTCCTTATGTGGATCAAAACAGTTTCCAGCAGTTAGATTTTGATGGGTCATTATAACAACTCTTTATCACTTGATACTACAATCATGGTATCAAAAACTACCCTGCACTCATTGGTGAACATATTGTTATCATTTTCGTGACACAATAGGTTACCATAGTAATAGTATGACCTGCCAAAAACACCCTTAATTACAGCTTTAGGGGTCTACAATTCAAAAACAGCAACATGAAATTTTTTTGTACATATTATCAAATTGTAATTAGCATGATAAAATGCAACTTTTGGCAAAGTTTTTAAAAAATCTGTACATAGGGTTCAGAGCCACCTTTAAGTTTTGAAAATTGAAGGTGGCTCTGAACCCTATGTACAAAATTATTTTGAACTTTGCCAAAAGTTGCATCTTATCATGCTTATCAAACTTTGATAATATGAAAAAATTTCACTGTGCCATTATTGTAGCATCAAGTGATAAAGAGTATTTGTAATGATCCATCAAAATCTAAGTGCTGGAAACTGTTTTGAGCCACCTTAAGCAAGAAAAATCCTGATTAATATTGAAAGTGATCAACAATACTGAAGGTCTTTCCATGCGCTTTTTCAAGATCATCAAAGCTTTAGCACAGTCAAGTTGTGCATCAGTACTACAATAAAGAGAATTTGTTTATAACCCCAAGACTATTGTGAAAGAATTGGTCCATGCTTTTAGATGTGGGTCTCTTGACTTGTAGACGCACTAAGGAGTTTAGAAAGCATGCAAGCTGCTCTTGGCTACCCCTTTTAACAACTCTTAAAACTTTTCTTAAGCTCTCAAAACTCCCACATGCGCTCCGTAATGTACATGTAATAGGCTCACACACACTAAGCCTGAACCAATGCTTAGGTGGAAAGTCTAGTGTTGACTTATATGAAGAGCTTGATCAGAATCAGGGTTCCAGGAAGAAGTGAATATCTAGCCGATTCTGAAGTATAATCTCTTGAGGAACATCATTCTATCATTCATATTTTTCTGGTTAATACATGTACGTGTAAATCTGAGTTCTACAGTTTTGATTTATATATATTGATAAAAGGCACTTGCCAAAAAATGAATTATCTCGAAATCGAGTCAAAGTAAAGAAAATCAAAACATATAGGCTGAAAGTAAAGCACTTGAAAAATAATCATATATCTCGATCAAGTTTTATATGTATACAGGTAGCGTTCGTCGAATTTTTGAGCTTTAAATCTGGAAAAGTTATATAATAAGGTTAACTTTCAAAGACGATCCCACACTATGGCTGAGGGGCACGAAAATATTTTCTTTCATTCAGCGGCAGTTGTATTATTCATATGACCATCTGCTGTCATCCGTGTGCATAACTCTTTGATCCAAGACAAAATATCAAATTTACACTCACCGTAAAAGGGTGATCTTCCACGCTTCCAACATCGATTGCAGCCTTATCATCGAATGTGTTCGTTGCTCCAGTGAGCACTTGATGGAGTTTCATCCTTCACAGATCAAACCACAGCCTCATCTTTGAACTGAAAACAATAGAAACTCCAGTTCCTGAAGTCACAGGCCGCCATTTTGCCTCAACTCGACTTTGCGGCAGTGGCTAATGGGTATATCCGCTGTTCGTTCTGGAACTGATCGCAGAAGCAGGATGCTCAGCGGTTTATTCCATTGGACGAATGCAAGATGGCGGACCGGGAAGACTGTGAGGATGACAGCGATTTCTTTCGTACTTTTGCTGAGGTTCCGTTATGCCCACCGGAAAAAAGACACATGTGCGCGAGGTGCAAGTAAGCTGGTTGAGCTGGTTGCTGATCAATATCGTAAAGAATTAGACAATTTTGAAGAGCCCCATTCCTTACAAGTCCGGTACAAAACTTATGCATGCGATCGAAACTTCACAATGTCGTGTTACTTTTAACTACTAAAAATCTGATTGCCAAAAACATTCCTTAGCTCCATATACAAGTCTCTGTTTGTTTCCTAGGAGACCACTTTCAGTGTGTCTGTGCGCGCATTTCCCAAGAAAGTTTCTTCAAATCTCAACAACAGTTCATATACTGCAACATCCTCGTGAGGTTTGTTACATTTAGCTTAAGCTTAAATGCTTGATTTTCCTTCCATAAAGCTATTGATTTTCCTCCTATGTAGTTGTGCACTTCCTGAAAATGTAAGGGCTGCTCATTAAAATATTAAAATGTTTCTCTTATTTATTTCCAAGGGTAAGAGTTCACGGGTATCTCCTATCAATATGTATAAACCATGTGTACATTGTCAAAGGGACAGTGGTAACAGAACAAAAATAGGATCAAATTCTCTTCAGTACATCAACAGAGTTGTTATAAAAATAGCTGAAACTAAAAGGTTGAAATGGAAGTGAGGAACATTTCTCCCCTATATTATATACATTGTAATTACTCACTCTTTTTTTTTTCCTAGGAGTCCCGACTTTTGACAACTGTTCCATTACTGGAGGTCTGTTTGCCTCCAGAGAAACTTGTCATTCGACGTGGAAGAAGGTTTTATGAAAATAACTGGCCTGACCTTCACAAACTACTGAACAAGCCTACAACACTTCTTTTATATCCTGGACCAACAGGTTTGTCAATTTTAGTTTTATTTCATTTAACAGTAACATTACATTTGAATAAAATTGATAATAACATGTATAATACAGCAAAGTGTATTGTGCATTTGACATCGTTCTCCTCTGACAGCAGTAAATATTAAGTTTTGCTTTCAATGTTGCTAAATGTAATTAAGACTAAGTTCAATGCAAAACAATAATTATTGCTGGCCAGCAGTCCCCCTCGGGGTGGTGTACAGGGTGGCCAGTGGATTTGTGCAGGGGTACCTTGATTTTACAGCTTAGTTTCGAATGTCAAGTCATCCTGCATGTTTTTCATTGCTAGTCAGATCTTGTTAAGCTTTTCTCTCAGCCCACCCATCTGCCTTGTCTTCATGGTAAGTATATGGTAAGTATCCTGTGTTTCCACTGTTTTTTTTTT